CGACAATGCTCGGGACGAGCATGTCTTAGGAGGGGGCAGTGTTGCGCGCCTAAGTTGACGTCATGTAGTGTCAGGGACGAGAGCGGGGGGAGCTTTCCAGAAAATGACATCACTAATCTTTCAACCGACAGCGCCATCTGGTGTCGAAACGAAGAACTAAGCTTCTAGAAGCCGACACTCGAACTTTCGGGACCTTGTCGATTGGTGCGCGTATTTACTTGAATGTTCTGGATGTTTCGGTGCTAATGTGTATTTATAGGCGCTGCAAGGTGTGATCGGAGAAGTATTGAATTTGACGAGACAAGCGAAGCTTCGGAGCGGAATAAAGTGAATCAGTGTGATTAATTATTAGTGTTTTAAGTTTAATTAGTGTAAAGTGAATTAAAGAGTTCATTTTGGTAATTCTATCGGCAATTTTTAATTGTCACGAACCTCAATCTCGTAACACTATTTACGTAAACAGCGTTAAAAAACTTTAACATTGAATCGCCTACATCGCGCTAGCCCCGACTGACTGCGTATAAAGCCCAGGGCGCCTCGCGATTTTAGGTAATTATTTCACGCAGGTAGCAAGAGTGACAGAGGCCTGACTACAGGCAATGCTTTTAAGGTTAAATTTAAATTAATGTATATTTATTTCAACTAGGGTTACGTCAAAACAATTGGCGACACTTTTTAGAGAACTTTTGCATGGGATTGTGTATCTATGTAGTTTTTTACTTACTTACTTAAAAATCTTCTTAGTATACAAAGTTTTAATTTCAGTATTTTGTGTTATTATAACTTAAAATATTTTAATTACAAAAGACAAGTATAGGTATGTATGTAAGTAAATACTTGGATAGTGAAGTAAATTTTAACTAATTTTTGTAATAAAGTACTTAGGTATTTCTTCTGTAGACCAAATTATTACTTAATTCTATTTTGCTGTAAGTACCTATCTAGTATTAGTGGTCGATGTGTTACACTCAGTTTGCGGTTTCAATAATAACATAATTATAAAATGAGTATATGTATATTGTAGAGAAAAGTATAATAATAATATAATTCCCCTGGTGCTGCAGTTGTTCATGGGCGCGGTCAACACATCAGGCGAGCCGTATACTCGTTTGCCCCTTTTTTTATTAAAAAGTTAGTGTGTTTACCTTTGTGTAATTACATTCTTATTAAGTTAATAGTAATAAGTAATGGTAAAGTACGTAATATTATGATAGTTCAAATTACCTATATTAATTTGATTATGGCAGTTGGCAAATTTGTTCTTTCAGCAGAGCAGAGAGTTCTCTTATTCTGTTCTACACTACGTTAGTACTCTTATTAGTTTGTGGTTCTACACATTTATGTCAATGTTCAAAGCCAAAAATCTTACCATTGATCAAACACAACTCATTTAGAATTAATGATAGCTGCTGATGAAGATTATTAGGTAAGGTCTACGCAAAATAAATTAAACAGCATGTTGTCAAGCAACGTCCTGTATCCATTTATTAAATATAAAATCATCATAAAGTAATATTACTAAGCATTCTATTTTTATAAACAAATCGCGCAGTCAAATATATAGTAGTATTGGTGTTGTTGCTTCCAAATCACAACTTTATTTTAATATTAATAATAATTTTTCTTATCCATGACATTTTTTTTAAATTTAATAAGTCGATAAACATGCACACGGCTTACTATTCTGTCAATTTATTTAAGAACACATCAGAAAACGAATGTAGCAATAACATAGAGCAACACGGGCATCCGGCGGATTCGAGGGTCGTAGCCAAACTCAGGCGCTCCCCCGTTCCCCTCAGTTAAAGTATAAGCATAGGTATAAGTATACACGGTTTTATGCGTACAATTAGGGATGCTTCGAAGTAAAAACAAGTAAGTACTAGATACTTTTCTTTCAATACCGAGTAGGTAGTATCGAGTAGTACTTGTATCGATACGAATGACGCGCTAATTGTGAACTCATCCTTGCGCAGCCAATACGCTAAGGTGGCGATTAAAATATTTAGAGCAATTACTGTTTTTGGGAAATCTTATGTTCATTCTTAATTGTATTGTTTTGGACTTGTAAAAAAAGTATCGATATGAGTAAGTATCGATACTTTTAGAGTACTCAAATGAGTACATCGCAAAACCATTTGAGTACTACTCACATGAGTAGGTATCGATGTTTTGTCGGTATCGGAACGTAATAAAACTAGTTGCAGCCGCACTGCCCACTGGACTAAAACTAGTTGCGCTACTGGATCGACGTCCTAGAAAAATGTCAAGTTGTTCAGTTTTTTGCTGCAAAAAGCAATCTGCCTCGTCAAATTTACAAAACGATGGCGTTCCTTTCAAATATAAGTTAATCACGTTATATTTGTTTAATTATTTTTAAGCCTAAAAATGACAATAATAACGATCGTCTTATTTCGGATTTGCTTACCAACACAGGCTGCTTGCCCTCATTTAATATGCAGATCTGTCGAGCGACTGAACTGATCAGAGTCCATATCCGAGTTGGCGCTGTCACCGAGCGATACCATAGAATAAATAATAGTGCGATACTGTTATTCTTTATACTAGCTAAGGCTGCTTCTCTTCGGTCCGCCGATGGCCCGTGTTGCTTATATGAGCAATAACATCAAAAAGTTATATACATACAATATGTAACGTAATTAACGCACACACTCAGACACCCCAATTAGTTCATTATGTTATAATCATAATACATACACTGAATTTTTAGTTAAACATTATTATGCACTGATTATTTATCAAATTAGTTATACTAATTCTGGAAGAATGTTGTGGTCACAATACAAATCCACGAACGCAAGACTTTAACGTGCTTGAAATAAAGTTCATTTTTCTTTATTTTTATTGAATAACAGAATTAGTAATAATACAAATAAACTGCACTCTTAAAAGTCTTTGCCTTAAGTTACGGTCGGTTAAGTTTCAGTTTGTTTTGACTGTACAGATTTAGTGTGACCGTAATTTACGTAGTTTTAATTATTTTTGGGATAAAAAATTACCTATATTAAAAATGATAGGAATCGATTCAGTAAACGATTCTGAATAAACTAGTTTCTCAAAGTGCGGTAATTATGTTACGTGTTGTATATATATATATATATATATATATATATATATATATATATATTTTTTTTTTTTTTATATATATATAAATATGTATAACAACATATAATAGCGTAAAACATTTTATGTCTATGCTTCGTTAATTTTAATGGACGCCACACACGGTCAGTCCAACTGATCAGTTCAAACTAAAACTGTTGATATTTTTTAAAATATCGGATTTTCGATATATCGATAGATAAACTTATATATAAAACTCCGATATTGATATATTTATAATTATCGATATGTCGAAAATCCGATATTTTAAAAAATATCAGCAGTCCTATTTTGAACTGATCGGTTGGAATGATCAGTTGAACTGACCGTGTGTGGCGACCATTATAGTGCCTAGATTAGGCTTGTGTGATTAATAATCATAGCACCATTTAATTAGCATTTTTCTTACAACAAATGATTTGCATACAAATTTTCTTGATAACAAAACAGGACTATATATAATACTTCGATCAACAATAACAACTAGATGTCGGGTCAGTGCAAGAAATCCATCTAAGTAAGAGCGCACATGAGACGTGAGCTCTTATTTCGTTTAGTCCATTTGAAACACAGCCAATGTAAACACGTTTCACAATGCCGCAATGTGTATTTAAAAGTTGCAAGAATAATGCCCGAAAAAGTAATTTAACGGCCGGAGTGTCTTACTTTCGGTAAATACATGTATAATATGTTATATTTTAAACTCTAAACTAACAAATAATATTATATTTGAAACAAAATTACCGATCATAACCATGCCTACAAATGTTTTGCCAATGTTGATCAATACACGCGCAAACATTTGTGAAACAGAACATAGACGCATGAAGTAGATTTGTATTGTAATAATTTTTAATAATTCGTAACCAAAACTTTAAATAATGGTAAATGCTTCTTTTGTTTTGTTTGTGTAATTCCAATAGATACTAAACTTTTTTTAGATTTCCTAGCTTCCTTCCCCGGTGGAGACGATCCATTAGTGCTACAACTATACTACTAATATAATTGCACCATGGCTCTACCACGTTTTAAAAGTATGCAATGGGCGATCTTATTGCTGACAGCAATTTCTTCCAGACAACCAATAAATGGACAGGCTTACATGAAAATGACACGAGTAGGGCAAATTGGTGTGATAAAAAGAATACACGTATATATATATATATATATATATATATATATATATATACTATACATAGATACATATATACTACGAACATATATACACACAAAAACTAAAATAGATATATATTGAATTAGTTAATTAAATGCAATCAATATACTACATACTATATTACCGTAAAACGGGGTTACTTTGCGAACTGGGGTAACTTTGATGATAGATAAACTTGGTAAGTTTTTTCGGATTTAATACGTGATACTGAACGCAACCAAAATTTTGTTTGTTCTGTTGGCCAGACTGACATGTCAGCCATATTTTGCCGAAGAGCCGACTATTAGCTGTTGTCAGAAGCAAATAAAAATAATTGTTAAACTTTAGTGTAAAATAGCATTAAAAAATTTGTGTGAATAACTTCAGTGGCACAACCGTAAGTATTATTGTTTGGTTTTTAGTGTTTCAATGTTTTAATTGTACGTTTCTTTAAGATTAAGAACATGTTTGCATTTTTTGTTTACGGCCGCCATTTTATTTTCCATGAACACTTTGGTTTACTGGGGTTACATTGATAGAGTATACGAGGCGACTTTGATAGTTATCAATTTTACCCCAATGATGGTTGTTCCCAATCTTATAGGAGTAATGTACAGTTTATCAATTTAACCTCTATTTCTTGTTTTGTTTTAGCTGCCTCATGGTTCGCACGTATAAAAAGACAGCGGGTACCCGCAATTACAAAAATTATACAGAGGAGATAATGGAAGAAGCAATAGAGAAAATCACCAACGACGAATTGTCTATTAATGCTGCTTCACTTCAATATAAAATTCCGTATGGAACACTTTATAATAAATATAAAGGATTACACGGAAAAACGCCTGGTGGCCAACCTGTTTTCACGCATCAAGAGGAATTAGCAATTTTACGAGCTGCGGCTACATGTGGTGATTGGGGGTTTCCTCTTACATTGTTTGACCTTCGAATGTTCGCTAAGGCTCATTTAGATCGACAGGGAAAGATTATAGAACGGTTTTCAAATAACCTGCCTGGTGTCGAATGGGCCATTAGTGTCCTGAAGCGTCATAAGCACTCCTATGGTCAAAGACTATCCACTAATATCAAAAGGTCCAGAGCGACTGTCGGCCGGGAGTCATTAAATAAGTATTTCGACAACCTTCACTCTGAGATAGAAAATGTACCACCGTCCAATATATTCAACTATGACGAATCAAATATGGCAGACGATCCTGGCAAAAAAAATGTGTATATAGAAGAGGAGTAAAATACCCTGAGAAAGTAATGAACTATTCGAAGAGTTCTACTACAGTTATGATTTGTGGTTCTGCAGACGGCACATTATTGCCGCCATTTATAATTTACAAAAGTACTCACCTGTACTATACATGGCAAGAGAGAGGTAATGTAGGTAAACCATGCTGTGAAAAGCCATGCTGTAGCCGGGGATGTCGGTATAATAGAACAACTAGTGGATGGATAGACACACCAACATTTAGGAATTGGTTCATGACTTGTTTTTTGCCTCATGCCAAAAGACCAGACGGGAAAAAGGTGTTGATAGGTGATAATCTATCGTCTCACATTGACAACGATGTATTAGGTGCATGTGAAATAAATAACATCAGTTTTATATGTTTGGTGCCAAATTCAACCCATTATACCCAGCCACTCGATGTCGGCTTCTTTCGTCCTTTAAAGATTGCATGGCGACAAACGCTTGAAGACTGGAAAAAAGCCAATTTACGAACTATATCTATACCTAAGGAGTCCTTCCCACATCTGTTGAAAAAGACAATAATTAATATGGACCAAAAGCCACCAAAAAATGATAAAGAGGCTTGCACAGAATTGTCAGCTGTGAAAAGAAATTTGGTGAGCAGTTTTAGGGCTACTGGTATCTCTCCTTTTGATAGGAACAGGGTGTTAAATAAATTGCCACCTGAGTCACCTTCTCCTGAAATCGAAACTGGCGTTCGAGATTCCTTAACAGAGTTTTTAAGAGAACAAAGATTTAGGAATGAATCACAGCCACCAAGGAAGAGGACCAGACTACAAATTGAACCTGGTAAAAGTATATCGACACTTAATGAAACATCTTGCCCCACAAATCAAGAAGTTGATGTAGTTGAGGTCCAACACACCTCAGAGCGAAATGATAATCCCGTACAAACTGAATCAATATCGATGCAAATTCCTCTTTCTGTTATCAGCGAGCCATCCACAAGCTATAGAACTGGTTACGAGGACACCAATGATAATCTTACCGATTGTGAGTCTGATAATGAAAATATAGCACCGAATTATACTAGAAATACCTCAACAGATTTGGCACAAAATCCCGCAATAGGGCAGTTTATTTTAGCAAAGTTTGGATCACAAAAGGGAAAAAAGACATATCATTATGTATGTTCTATTGAAGATATCATTGACACTAAACTTGTTGTTCAAGGTTATATAAGGTATAGTCCCCAAAAAAAAAACCAAAACTATTTTTAGGAAGTTCCTAAAGATTTATCAATTATTGAAATTAGTGACATTATTACTTACCTGCCTTAACCGAAATATATCAATGAATGCTACTCGTTCCCCAATGATGTGATGATCAAAGAATTGTAGATTTTATTATCTATATTTAACTAAACTTTTGAAAACATTTAACATGTTGATTTTTAAGTTTTTATTTTATAAAATAGGTTTATATAATTATAAGACTGTTGTTTTAAGTGATAAAAATTATGCATGTCGAAAGTAAATGTTTAGACTGATTAATGTTAGGTTACTGTTACTTAATTTTCTTAAATAATAATAAAAAATATTCGAATTTTTTATTATTATTTAAGAAGTTTTTTAAATTTTATTATTATTTAAAAAACATATCAAATTCACCCCTTGACTCAAAGTAGCCCCAAAAATTTTCAAAACGCAATATTTTCTAAACCATAGCTTCTAAATTATTTTTTCTTATTGATATTTGTCATGTATTGGGGTGACTGTGATGAATTAAAAAATGAGTACCATATCAAAGTAGCCCCATTTTCAATAAAACTTTGATAAGCAGGTTTTTATGTTTTTTCTAAATAATTATTTACAAATTTATATTTTTTGTTGTAATAATTAATTTGCGTGGTGAGTCTTCACCACAGTATTTTTTTAACATTTTATCGTTTAAATTGCAAGCATGGGATCCATTTGAAGTTTAAAATTAATCAATGTCACCCCGTTTTACGGTATATTTAATGGCTCCTATGGAAAGTATATATACCAACAATCATAAATGCCCAAAACATAAAAATAATTTTAATTAAACTTTGATCATATTATAAATTATTTAAGTGTTCAACGACAATACTTCCTGGACCAAATTTGAAGAAGAAAATAGAAACATAACAAAATGACGTAGCTCGCAAGGCAATAACGGGAAAAAGAACTTTATTCGTTACTCCTTAAGGTTGATTTCACACCAAATGTTATTTAATTTATGTCTTTTCATTTCCAAGTGATAGGAGTATTGTATAGCTTTGTTCTTTTTGCAATGGTTGTAATTAGGTTGAACTTAAAACTATTTTAATTTTTGTCTCATCTTTGGTAAACAAATGTAGCTGTTTAAGTTTATATTCACGTGGACAGTATTCAGCTATGATTTTGTACGCGACCCGTTACTACTCGTTATCTAGTTGGTATTGTTGATCGAAGACATAATATTAATAAAAATACCTTACCCGTAACTCAAGGGTTATGATAAATTCATGCCGTTTGACTTATAAATCAATTATTATCAGTTACAAATTTTCATTTGTAACTGATTATAATTTTTAGAATATTTCGTACACAATGCTGTGAAATGTAGATATTGCTGAAACGTTATAAGTATTAATGTTAATAATTGAGCCTTGAAAAAATGTAGAATCTTTATGCGATATAAGAATAATTCTTGTTAAATTGAGCAAAAGATTGTAGCAAACGTTTCCTACTCGTGTTTTAGTAGGCATTTATTGGCGGTTAAAAATTTACGGTCGTGGAACCGAAAATATGGTTATTTAAGTCACAAGATGAGAAACATTTTTTCATTATATTATTTTTGAAAAAAGTTAAGGAAAGAAGTTTTGGCTAATAACGGCTCATATAATCTATCACTTATTTTATTTTATTATTTTATTAATTATGGTTTGCGGCGAGTCATTCATTTCTATAGCGACTTCTCTTTTGGATCTTCTTACAGGTGTAATTTCGGGGGTGTTGAGTGCGGTTTCCTGGCCTGGTTCGATTGAGGCTGTTACCAATTCCGTCGTAGCTGTCGGCTCGGATTTTATCGAAACGGTGTCCCTGGCTGTAGGGGAGTTTAGGGAAGTTTTTCGTCGTTTCGTCTTTTTCAAATATGGAGTTACTTTCTGTAAATAAATTGAATTGTATTGTTAATCAAAAATATTTTGGTTCTCCATGTTCAAGACAAAATTCTGTCTGGTAGAGAATGCCATGAAGCATTAAGACTGCCCTTTGCAATCCCTCTCGTGAATATCAAGAAATAGAATAAAAATTGGATTATCTTAAAGAGCATGAATCGCAAATTATGGGATGTGGTTTGGCTCTTGATGTTTATATCGGGGTTTCTGTGAAAATATATTTCACTATACCTAAATAAAACGTGCGCCGCGTGTCAAACATCACCTGGATGTTTGGCGTGTGACTGTGCGATTAACTAGTTATATTCCCCGCACGACTTTTTCGTGAAATTGCTTGCTACGAGCGATTTTTCCGGACCGATACGACTTAGGGAACTTTTCTAAAACGAAATTACTCCTTTTTAAAAGGCCGGCAACGTACCTACAATTCCCCTTGTGTTGTTGTTATTTATGGGCGGCGTATACGCGCACGTAAATACACATGCACACACACACACACACCACACACACATACGCACGCACGCACGCGCGCGCGTGTACTCTTACTCCCTCAAATATACGTACACAATACACATGCACGCACTCAGCATACCTAATACAAGCCTATAAAAATAGTTCAACCAGAATGAGAATTTTCCAAACGTACTCCTGTTTTATTGTTTTTGTGAAACTAGCGACCAGCCCCGACTTCGCAAGGGTGATTTTTGGATTTCAACAATATAAGCGTACATATTGTTACGAGCTTAGGGTTCGTGAGAATAAAAACTACCGATTGAATTACCAAAATTGACACTTTAATTACCGACATCAATTAAAACTTAAAACAGTCTAATAATAAATCACACTTAACACTTTAGTTCACTATATTTCGTTTCGAAATCTTCGCTTGTGTCGCCAATTTAATACTGCCTCGGTCGCGGCCGTTAACGGCTTTATATAGGCCTTTTCCACCGAAACATCTAGAATATTCCAGCAAATACCGGTCTTGACCGAGTGTGGGGTTTTCTAGAAAGCTTAGTTCTTCTATTCGATACTAGATGGCGCTAGTGGGAGAGTTCTAGAAAGGTTCCGCCGCATACCGGGCGCTAATTTTAGCGCGCAACAATATAAACTTTACTTTTAATTCAATTCTGTCTATAGATAAAAATCCGTATCAAAATCCGTTGCGTAGTTTTAAAGATCAAAGTGTACAGATGGCGGGAAGCGGCTTTGTTTTATACTATGTAGAGATAAAACGCTAATAAATGCGCTTATATAGAATTCATATTTACACTTGGGACTTCTGATAAATGTGTTTAATAATTAAAAAACTACTCACAAACACAGGTTGCACACTTTGTCTCTATGTTTGTAAGTTTCAACTGGACACTGACACTAGACACTCCTGAGGGCTTAGTCGGAAACGCTTTACAAAATATGTAATTAAACCCGGTCTTCTTAACCTTCGGAACATAACAATGGATGCACCGCTGCTTTGCAGAAGAAATACGGTATTTCCAACTCAGACGCACTTATAAGCATCCACCCGCAAAGCGATGGAGGCGTCCCTGTTGCCACTGTAGCTGTAGGGTTTTAGCCGGTGGTTCGTAAGGATTTCCACACGATATTAAAAAAAATCCTACTTCACTAACAAATTCTAAGACTAGTGGTTACCTGTTGCGGGTCACGCGCGATGGTGACCGCCGTGCGGCGCACGACGAAGTCCCTGGCGGTGAGGCAGCGCGTCAGCAGCAGCGCGGCGCTGCACGCCCCGCTAGCCCACACGCCCGCGCTGGCAGCCCGCGTCGCCGCCGCCCGCCCGCCCAGCCCCCACCACGCCGACAGACCGTTCTCCAGGTACGCATTCGCCGCGGAACAACTGATGGCCGAACAAACTCACGATACCAACCACATCATCCGAATGCTTGGCGTGTTACTGTGCGATTAACTAGTTTTATTCATCGCACGACTTCTTTGTGGAGTTGCTTACCACGGGCGATTTCTTTTTCTCCAGACCGATACGACTTAGGAAACTTCAAGAAACGAGATTACTTCTTTTTAAAAGGCCGGCACCACAATTCCTCTTGTGTTGTAGTTATTCGTGGGCGGCGGGCAATACTTTTCATCAGATGAGCCGCATGCTCGTTTACTCCCTCTTCTATATAAAAAAGATATATTTTTTAGTTTGAACTTAAAAACTGGACACTCAATGTGGAATGTAAAGTTCCACGCTCTAAGGGTATTATCATTACGTTCTCCAAACACCTAGTCATTGAGACGAACATGGACAAGTCACAAATCATGTCTAACGTCTATGTCAAATCTAAACCTATAATTTCAAATTTTAATGAATATGTTTAGGTACTCAAGTTAAGTTATCTAATTATTAAATCATAGGATCTCACTCTTCTGAGCAGCCTTTAATACTCCTTAAATCTTAAAAATAAAATGAATTTATCCGTGCATGGCTGTGATCACTTATGGAACTAAGACGTGGTCCTCAACCGCAAAGGCATGGAGAGGAAACATTCGTTTGACAATATTTAGGCAATGTTATCCTCGGAGTTTTTCACGTCATGGACTTCGAAATGAAGATATCTTCTATAGAACCAGAGTAACCGACATAGCCCAACGGATCAATAACTTGAAGAGGTAAGGACCTGGTCATGTAGCAAGCGTGTTTATTCGGTGTTATTTTTTTCGTAGTGTTCCTAAACATGCGTTTTAAAACAATATTATTGGGAGTTTCTTTTCCAATTATTTTCTGGAATTGTTTTTACATTTTGATGTAGAACGAAGCATTATCTGAACTTAAGAAACACCTAATCAATAATGGCCGAAACAGGAGTTTAAACGGACAAAACCTTGAGCTTGTATGAGAGAGTTCTCTTCTAGAATTGGTATAACAAAAATTTACCTTAAAACTAAATAATTTCATTAAGGGCTGGAACCAAAATAAAGTAAAGCCTCTATTGTACATTTTCGGACAACTCAGCCCCTTCATCATACCTCTCAACAATGAGTTAACATAGGCAGATAACTAATTGTTAATTGTTGTAAGATCACGGTTATTATAAGATCTGACTGTAATGAAATAAAAGAAACAAATGAGATCCTGCCTCGTTATAATAATAAATGCGATGTCTTTGAGTAATTACCTAGTGTGTTTAATAATTTATTTACATAACAAATTATAAAAAACATAAATAAAGTAATCTAAAACTAATAAATTAAATTATCATACAGTTCTACTCCCCGTGTTATCGTGCCAAGAACGCTGGCTGCGTATCCTTGCTAAATGGCTATACTTAGCATTTGAATGAGAAAAGACCCAGCCCTCATATCACCAGTAGCGACGACCAGTCTCGAATTCAGTCCCTTTAGGAACTTCACCGCACATGGGCCGTACGAAAAGAATAGTTTCAGTCTTAGTTTAAAAATAAAAACCCATATGCTTAATTGTACATTTTGCTCTTTTTAGACGAAAAGAGTAAAAATGGCAATAGAGCAAGAGCAAGAGCAAACTGTACTCGCGGCGTCAAGTGTGGACGTACAAGGAGCATACGACAATCACTTTCCTCGAACGTAGTTTTCCGCAGTGTGCTCGCGGCTCGTGGCGGATATGGACGAGTCTTGGGATATACCAGACCTTTCAACAATCTTCTTATTTTTTATAGTCATCCTCATGTTTTGGGTCCCATATCATTAGATTATTTTGATATAATTTAATTAATTTCAAGCAATAATCTTCCGTCCACGTTTCCATGTTGCTCGAACTAAACGTCTGTCATTCAACACGTTCACGAGCACGCCTAGTTAATCTCATAGTCTGTGGAGCACACTGCGATGTGCGCACGATGCAAACAGTGTTTTTTGAAACACTGGTAGCCAAAACCAACATTTCATTTTGGCTCCCGCTGTATAGAATGCTACAATCCCGCCAAAACCCCTCAAGTAGGGATTTTTCATTTATTACATTCCCCAAAATTTTAAAAATAAGTAATTATAAAATTAAGTTTCTTGACATTGATTCTTAAATCTACTTAAGTATTTATTCTTAATATAAATATTGCCCATCAATGATTATTTATATGAACATATAATTTAATATACAGTCAAAAATAATTTTTAAACAAGTTGTAATTAAATTATACTCCCTTTACTGAAAATGATCACAATAATATGATCATTTTTATGTAGGTACCGTCTGTACTACTAAGAAATTCAGGACTTCATAGGCGTGATTTTTACTGACAGCTGTCGCAGAGATCAAGCTATCTTTTATGAACTATATACGATTTTGTGCTCGGCTCATGCTCCGCTCGTGCTCGGTTCCTCTAGCGTAGACCCCACCTTTAGAAAACATTTATCAAAACCAATTCTTACGTAGTAGTGTTGGTTATGTTATAGAAGGCTGCACAGAAGTCCTGGATACCCCTGTTCGTTAGTGTGTAGTTGTGACCCGTCACTCCTACGAGTATCAACGAAAACAGCAGCGCGGGTATCACGATACGCCATGGTTGCTGAAGTCTGTGGACAAAGCATTTTTGTTAATGCTACCACGTATAAATAAGTATATTAGAACATACCTATATAGTAAATAATTCATCAATTTACTACGTACTACTCTATTTATACAAATATATGGCAGTCATGGTTTATTATGCAAGTAGCACGAATGGGTCGCCTCTGACTAGGGAAGGACCACGCTATTACAGAATAGAACGTGCTAACTAACGTGAAATACCAGCTTAATGCTGCTGTGTTCCGTATGGTGAATGTAGCCGGAAACCCCTTTTACTGGAAACGAGTCATTCCATCTTGGTCAATCTTCTTTGTCAATGAATAAATTGCACGCATCTGTATTTTGATTCATTATCGAGGATAGATATTTAATGTTTATGGACTACAGCTTCCACTTACCATCAGGCGGACTGTGTACTCGTTTGTGACCCTTATTCTATAAAAAAACTATTATTTATCGTTTCGGCACCCAAGCACCGGCACCCGATACAATACTCGAGGCTAATGGTCGCCACACACGGTCAGTTCAACTGATCATTCTAACAGATCAGTTCAAATTAAACTGTTGTTATTTTTTAAAATATTGGATTTTCAATATATCGATAAATAAACTTATATATAAAACACTGATATTGATATATTTATAAATCGATATATCGTAAATTCAATATTTTAAAAAATACCAACAGTTTAATTTGAACTGATCAGTTGGAATGATCAGTTGAACCTACCGTGTGTGACGTCCATATATGTTTCAAACAAGTTTCAAATATTGAAAAGATTAATAAACACTAAAACTTTTAGTAATTTCAGTACCCTGTTCTAGAATGTCCACCTCCTGGGCACATGGTGAAGAAAGTTATCCAGAGAGCGGCGAACACCGTGGACATGATAGGCATGTATTCGGTAAACTGGCAGTCCATATCCCGTGCGAACAGTGTCCGTGACGTATCCAGGACTAGGCGATGGGTTTCGTTTCCTTGAATAATTGACAGAACCATAGATTAATTTTGCTGTAATACTCAAACGACCGAAATAAAAATAAAAACTGAAGTGTTAAAAAAATGTTATGCAGGAAATAACTACTTAAACCTAATCATTATATTTTGATGTAAATGACCCCAAAATTAGAGATTTCTTGGGCCATATAGCTGAGAAAGTTTTTTCTTCCGTAAAATTTTCACAATAAAACCTTTGAAATACAATATCCTAATAGAACATTGTTCAAGTTAGTCCAGTTCAAAACATGCCGGCTGCGGAAAACATCGTGAGGAAACTTTAAAAATATTTTGTATCACATAAGAGTAAGGCTCAAACTCGGGGAACTTTTATTTTATTTAGTCCATACAAACCGATTGCGAAACTGCAAACGTTAACTTGCCACAAATAAAGTTATTATTAGATACGTAGGTAATATTTAAAAATTCTCATCCGCAGCGTCTGCTATACTTGATACTATAATTGCTGTACAGTATATGTTAATCGATCCGTTCGCTCGCACAGGTGATTTCTGGATCTCGACAGTAGCGCCACCTACCGGCTCCAATTATGTTTTTTTAAGGAATAAGAGTGACAAATGAGCACATAGTCCACCTGATGGTAAGTGGAAGCTGTGGCCCATAGACATCTACATTTATCCTCGATTAAGAATCAAAATGTAAATGAGTTGCCACTCCTGAAGACCAAGGTGGAATGCCTCATTTCCAGTAAAATAGGGTCTCCGGTTATCTATACTCACCATACGAAACAAGCAGCATTGAGCTGCTATTTTACGCTGTGAAAGCGTGGTCCCACCCTGGTCGAGCCGACCCATTCGTGTTACAACGATACTATAGCTGCAGCATGGCTCTACCACTTACAGTATAAACCATCCGGAACCCACTCAAACGTACACAAAAAATTTAATCAAAACGGTTCGAGCTATTTTTAGCTATTTTTAACCAGTTTTAGCGAGACTAACGGACAGCAATTGATTTTTATATCTAGAGGTATATAGGTTAGGTAGGTATTGAAATGCGTTTCTGAGGCTAAAGCTGAGGTAAATTTAGTTTCTTCGCCCCAGGACGGAATCTCCGAATGATGTAGGTATACTTACCAATCGACCTAATAAAAAAAGTAAAGTTACAACCTATATACGTTCCACTGCTGGGCACAGGCCTTCCCTAATTTCTGAGGGTTTTAGGGTAAGGAAGTGTCCGCCACGCTGCCCCAATGCGTGTTGGCGAACTTCACATGTCTTCGAAATATTTTTTTTTCTTATTCGTTAGACATGCAGGCTTCCTCACGATGTTTTCCTTCACCGCCGAGCACGTGGTAAATCAGCACTTAAAATTGCAATTAACAATTTCATTGTTGTCGGCGGGGATCAAACCCGGGTTACTCGCGTTCTGTTATATTTACAGCGAACGCTAACTATCTGAGCTACTACGGCTCTTTTTTTTCTTAAAATAAGTTATTTTGCATTCAGTACCTTTATAATATTGCTAGCTACACATTACGGTAAATGTTTTGTATATCTGTAATTGGCAAACATATTTAACCATATACATTTGTTATCGTGTTGTTGTTAATGTTTCATGTGTTTTGCTGTTGGTATATCTTATAAATAAATAAATAAAACTTTACCCTCCATACAAATACCATACCTAAAGCTGTCATAATCGTCGCGTTCTCTTCTTCCACAATAACATCAGGGTGAACGTTGTTCTCTATCACTTGCCTTTTATTCTTTTTAACTGTATTAGTTTTATTATCGTCGTGAACCGAGTCATTTATTTCGGTCACTGTTTCAGTCGCATTAGCTTCAGTATTGCCAGTATTGCTCGGTATTCCTTTAAAGCTAAAATATGTTGAGTTTATTTTATTATTGTCAACGTCAGCTGTATTGTTGGGCAATTCGAATGTTCGGAATTCCAGCTTCCTTGGCATCAGCACACAATTGTACTCCACTAACTGCATGGTGTTCTGGAGGAACACATAGTTCAGGATACCGAATATTCCTGCTGCGGAGAACAGTATCAAATGCCATGCTGAAATAGAAATTAATTATGCTTGTTAATAATGAATGAAAAAAAAATCAAGATACCTCTTATATATATATGGCTTCAATAACATGCCATTAAGTGATAAATAACTATTTTTTTAAAAGTTTGCCAATCGTGTCCCTTGAGTATTAAAGTCCTGTAATGTGCGTGTATAGTGACGCGATTCAATTTTGCATTTGTAGTGAAGTATACAGTAGTGTTTTTCTCGCCTTCCCCTGAAAGTCTGTCCGAGCAAATATTCGGAATGACTGAACCGATTGAAAGGAAACTTCACGAACGGATATAGATCAAGGACAATATTTTATCCGTTTGAGGTTTCTTGAAAAAAAAAACGACGGGTTGCACTCTGGGAGTGCCGGCAGAAGTGAAAACTTGAATATTAACGTTGTGTATTTTTGATATTCTGGAATGGTTAGGGAATAATTTTGCACGAATTGCTTTAATTATCATTATAAAAGTACTATCATTTATGTGGTAGAATACAATATTTATTTATTGCGCTATCGTACACAAATATGACAATTTATATTACATTAAAAAGTTTATCTCTCAGAAAAATCAACCTACTCTCCATCCGTCTTACGAATTTTCGATCAGGTCACGTGTCCTGACGCGAGTTTAATATTTTTTACCCATTACAAAAAAGTGTACAACGCCGCTAAAGAAGTTTTCACTTCAAAAAAAACAGAAAAATTGTTAAAAGATAAAGTAAATAATAAATAATTTGATTATCTTAAATCAAAATAACGCCATGTTAATAGATCCCATCCAGGCGAAGCCAGGTGTATATATATAAATATGTATCGCTAGTCGATGATAAGTCGTGAAGGTTTCGTGAAGTCTCGTAGTACCCAAAAATTTAAGTAGCAGTTTAACTGTCTTGCCGGATAAACAAATCAATAACGAAGAAATTTTCAAGTCAAGGCGTATAGACATATTATCCTCCTAAGCAGGAGAAGTATACGCTCAGGTAAAAACCATAACATAATTGATAAACAAATCGGATGTCCTTTATAAGAAATAAACACAAATAGGCACAGTTGATGAGCCGCCATGACTATAAAAGCATGCATTCACAAAAATCGTAGTGCATCCTTTATATAACCGGTTAAGGTGTGAAGTTTTAGAAAATTAGGAGTTCTAAAGTTGTAAAGTATATTAAATCAATATATCTTTTAAAAAACTTAAAGGTAGGTCTACGCTAGATAAGCCTAGCATGAGCTGAGCACAAGCTGAGCCGCTCTACTCGCGGTGTCAAGTGTGGTCGTACAACGAGCCTACAACATGCAAATAGATACATGTGATGCAAATCCTTTTAGTTTTAGTAGTAAATTGGCGATAACATGTCGTGGTCGTGGGTGTCGTAAGAGACGACTACGAGAGATGCCATATACAAATTATGGGTACCGAAAGATGGCGGTACTAACCATCTCGTTTATGTCAGGCGTAAAATAGCCACGTCGACGGGCAGCAGCTTCAAAGGCCTGGCAAACGTGACGATTAGGGCAAATTTTTCCTACCAGGCTCTCCCAGTTTTCACTACTGGACATGGGTCTCTACCCAGCGGTGAAATTTTACTGTTCCAAAAAATATACATCACACATACGTATAGTGTCGACATTGCTCCCTGATATAGTGTATAATCAGAGCCCTGTAGCTCAGGGGCTTAGCGCTCGCGGTAAATTTCACAGTAAGCGAGCAGCCCGGGGTCGATCCCCGCCGGTACGAAATCGTTAATTTCAATTTTATGTGCCGATTTACCACGTGCTCGGCGGTGAAGGAAAACATCATGAGGAAACCTGGATGTTTGAGAAATAAAAAAAATATTTCGAAGACATGTGAAGTTCGCCAACACGCATTGGGACTGCGTGGCGGACATTTCCCTGCCCTAATACCCTCTCAGAAATGAGGGGAGGCCTCAAGTGGTACATCTACGGGCTGTAACTATGGTGTATATCTGTGGCTCTTTGGCTCCAATAAAGGTATTTTAGTTAAATCAGGATTTTTAAGCCGTCTCTGGATGCCATCAGGTTTTTTTGTTATCATACGCTGCCACCACACTACGTACTACATTGTACTCGGTGTAATAGATGCTGCAATCAAGATATTTATGAGCTGTATTGGCACGTTTTTTGAACATTAATACATTATGTTTAAATAAAAATATTATTTAATAAACATATTTATGCAACCTTCACATGGGTATATCGCTTACATATTTACTCAAATTGGTTGTTACGTTTGCTGGTTGTTGTATGTATTCCAGGACCTTCTTACATGGAACAATGCGAAAGCTTAGATAATATTCGCTTTATATTGATATTCCTTACATCTTTCAATTAATGCTCATGTAATTTTTATTCTTTCCATAATGTAAAAAACATTTAAGAGGTTAGAGTAAGTCAGCTCAAATTCTAATTTCGCCCCCACTTCCCCGCGCGTCGTATGCTATGTACCGACATGTTTGTAATCACTAATACTGTAAGTAGAAAGGTCGTTAGACACTTATTTCATTAGGTTTATCATATTTATGCCTGTTTCTTAACGCCAAGCCACTCGCTTCTTATTTTTATTACGGTTATTTCCCATATTAATTTTACGTCTTCATAATAATGTTTATTCTGATCGTAAGCGACACAACTTCTCCCTTCAAAAGCCGGAGCGATACTAACGGGGCGACAGGAATCAAGCTTACGCGCCGATAGTTTAGGTAATTTCTTTTTACAGTGAAAATAATGGTATTTAAAAAAAAGTAAATAACATAAGCACTGCTTTATAGTTAGTTCAGTTAGTATGCAAAGTTTCATGATCTTATTTAAAGTATTTTATGAATAACAGCGGTTTAATTTTCAGTTTGAAGGTAACTTTGGATTTTTTTTCTATCGAGAAAATTTTACGGAATCGTGTTTTCGTCTAACATAAACCTTAACATTAATCTTCAACTTTACCATATATTTATTTCAAAATTAATGCTGCAATACTTTCGGCATAACGGAGGATCTTGCTAAGCCATTTAAGGTTATATTTCCCCTTAAGAAGTCCGCAGTGAGGTGGCCTCGTTCGATAATACTCATAACATACCTTCACCTCCTAGGTCAGGTATCTTAGTTATACTTATAACTTTTATTTTATTAACCGTACTTGCCGGCGGGAATTGTTTTCTTGATGCGTTTTTTGCCTACTTCCAGTCGTTAAATTTAAATAAATTGTTTACTATAAGCTTTGCTTTGTTAACAGTGAATACATACTCAAATAAATTGTATAGTATTGTATGATTACATCACAGATATGATTTGTAGAAGCTAATATGTTCTTCTTTATGATATAAAGAACAATTTAATCCTTGAAACCTATCTAAGTACTCCAAAAAATTCTGTGAGCAAACGGTTTGAATACATATTTATCTGTGAAAATACATTTCACTTGAATGTATCAGTTTATTCATGGAATTTGTTTATTAACAGAGTCGTTTGGACTGGTATGTCTGTGTGACTGTTTAAATTAGCTTATCTTTTATTATAAAGGTGACAACCTTCCACGCTTCGAGTTTTCATTAAAAATAAATAATTCAGATACATTCTAATTTAGGAAGTTTTAATTAGTATGGGAAAATTTAAATCAGAAATCAAATCTTTGATTTATAGGTAAATAAATAACTCGTATAGTGCGAGATCCGGACTGTGTGCGGAATGCATTCTCATGGTGCAATAGCAGTGTTTCCCAAAGATTGTTCTGCCATGGCCCGGTAATTTTCACACTGCCCCTTAGTGGCCCACTAAATAATACTAATACTAAAACCAAGCTGGTTCCACTATGTAAAACAATTACACATTTATTAACAGTAAAAATGTTTTTTTTTCGACATATTTTGGTATCGCCTATTTAGTCACAAAATTTTAATGCGAAGTATGGACCTGCTGCATACTTTTCACTAAAGAATCCAAGTTCGCGGAAAATGAGGAAAGTTTAATCCTATGGTCTGGATCCACTTCAAGTCGGTTTCTATATTTATTTTTAAGGTAAACTTGCTAGCTATTGAATTTTTTTACACGTGCGTATGCGGGAATTTGGCGACCCGGTATTTTATTTTGATGGCCCGGTACCGGGTCGCGACCCGGCAAATGGGAAACGGTGTGCAATAGGATGCGAATTTTCGGTCCATTTTTCCTAACTTTTTCAAACACATTGGGCAAAGAAATGGTGGTGTGCCACTCATCATTAACTGTTTATTGCTTATCAAGTAGGATTGTGCAGTGGTCTGCACCGTCTGGAGAAAAAATAGCAAGCATTTTAGCACGCGCTTTTTGCCTGCCCCAATTTTGTTAGATTGCTGTCGCCTTAGAACATCTATACATAAGACTGTTACTTTCTTTCCAGAATGTAACAATATATCTATGTTTCGTCTCCTGCCACTGTCGCCTTGTCTTCTGCCACCAGATTTTCAGATTTACATTTCAATAAGCCCAAGCCACAAGCTTAAAGCCCACTTTCTACTATGGGATATAATATATTTATATTACATCTCGGGATATAAATTAATATCGCTCACCCTACTTTTAAATGGAACCGTTTCCACTGACATGTAATATATATTCCCAAATTATAAATATTTTTTCGATCTATCGAGCGATATTTTCAAATTATATTTCACCTCATGTACCCCGCACACCCTTCCGCGCCTCCCCCACGTCCTCAGATTGTCCAATGACGAACGCACACTGGTTAAAAGATATATCTCACAGTGTGAAGGGCAATCGCGGGATATAATTTATATCTCGGGATATAATATATATATTGTATCCCATAGTGGAAAGCCAGCTTAACAGTTTACTTTTAAAGTTGTTCTTTATAAACTAATTGCTGACAAATAAACTGTTTTTACTGTCAATATTCATTTTTAATTTCTGTGGTTTTCTAAAACGTCTGTGACGTCATTTTAACTTATACAGCCACAGCTCGGCTACAATCATACTTTGGTAAATTGAGATAAAGCCCTAGAAATTCGCTTTTGCCTTGAAGACACACAAATGTGTAATCTGACGGAAAGACAGAGGCCAGCAAATTATTGCACTGTCATATTCTTTATGTTCCTCTAAGATTATTAAATCATTGAGAGAACCATATTTTTTAGGGTTTTGTACCCGAAGGCTAACAAACGGGACTCTATTACTAAGCCTCCACTTTCCGTCCGTAACAAGTAGACAGTTAAAATTTTCTCAACATGTGTATTTCTATTGCCGCTATAAAAATAAATTATAAAAATAATAATATTTTTAAAATAAAAGGGGACTCCTATACTGAAACCTGTTTTACGATGGTACGGAACCCATCAAGTGCGAGTTCGACTCGCACTTGACCGTTTATTGATATAATCTGTTTTAATTAGGTGAATTTTTATTTATTCAATGACAACATATATATTTTGATGTTAGAATGTTATGAAAAATCATATAATATACACACTATATTTTTCCAAACTTTTTTAAGTCATAGTCGACTGCAATTCTTTATCTTAATCTAAGTAGGTCATCACAACAGCCGTCACGACTTATACTACCTAGTGATATAACGTTTTTAAAGTAGAGGCATACACTGGAAATGGTCGCGAATAAAAATAAAAATGCTGGTATTTCTAGAGTTAAAAGTTCGGTACGATATCCGCTCACAAACCACCACAATTTGACATTCCAACAAACCACTCATTACATCACACTTTTGATTTGTGGCAGCTAATATGTTCTTATTTATGACATAAATAATAGTTTAATCCTTGAATCATCTACTCCAAAAATACTGTGAGTGGAACAGTTTAAATAAAGAAAAAAGCCCCAAAATCCCCCAGCTGTTCATGGTCGGCGGTAATCACTTACCATCAGGTGAACCTTATGCTCGTTTGCCCCCTCTCCTATAAAAAAAATACATATTTATCAGTGAAAATACATTTCACTGGAACATGTAGCAGTTTATTCATGGAATTTGTTTATCAACACAGTCGTTTGTATGTAAGGTACTTACATTCGCAAGTCTACTACGAGTACAAATCAAGGGAAAGTGTTGTAATTTGACCTCGTTCACGACAAACGAACGACGAAATTTCTTTAGTGAGATGTATTTCATTAGATAATGTGAAGCATTTTTAACGTAGCGGATCTAGTCTCCTTGGACCGTTAATATTTTGTTATAAAGGTGAAAATCTTATACTCTTCGAGTTGTCATCGAAACTATTATCGGATACATGCTAATTTAGGAACTTCTAATTAGTATAAGAATTGACATTTTAATATGAGGACACTTCTCACAGACCGCCAAAATAAAATAGCAGTTTAATACTGCTGTGTTTCCTAATGAGTGTGAAAACCGAAGAACCCGTTTACTGGTAACGAGCCATGCTATCTTGTTCCTCGTGGGTGACAAGTGACAACGCATCTACCTTTTGATTCTTAATCGAGAATTGATGTTGATATCTTTGGGCCACAGCTAGGGTTACCAACTTTCGAAAGTACCGAACCAGGAGAATTTTATGTAGTCGAATCCGGGGGGGGGGGGGGGAGAAAATCCAAATCATTTATTAATTTTTAAATTTATATTTACTTTGCTTTCGAACAACATCTAATACTTGTCGATTTCGCAAAGCGAGTGCGAGCGGCGGATGCATATAATTTTTAGAAACACCGGAGAAATTATTGCATCCCGGGAGGTCGAGAGGTTAACCATTATTATCGGAGTCTCCCGGGCAATCCGGGAGGGTTGGTAACCCTACATTCACTCTTAGCTCGTTTGTCACCGTCATTCTATAAAAAAGAGGAAGAAGACCTTTTCCATTTGTAAACTCCTGGGACGTAGGTTAGCTGGTTACTGATTAAAATTCAGGGAACAATTGCTGCAGCTACTTACCAACAGGTAAACAGTTAGCTGATTTATCACTTATATAAAGAAACGTTAGCAAAAACACCGGTATATATGCTTTTGTTCTGAACACAGTACGTTTTTGTGTCTATTATAACGATGACGAAATTATATAGCGATGCGCTATCAAGTACAAGCTATATTTGAATTAAAGCTGCGACCTTCAAAGAATCGCTTGGGCACTTGGGCATCACGTCCGAGGCCGCGTGAACAAATGATATAAAAAAGTCTAAACATACGTTTGCACTTACTATTGTTACATTGGGTGCGTTTGGCAGAAAAAAGCGCTAGCAAGCGCTTATAAGCGCTGAAATAGTTTTCGGCCAGGACACGATTGCTACTTCGGTAGCGCTGACACAATCCGCCATTTTGCTTATTTAATTTGTTTGTTTTGAAGTAGAGTTTATAAGTTGTTTTGTGCAATATTAGTTTTAAGTAATATAATGACATGAATAAACATATAAATGTTATCAAAAATTCATGATTGGTAAGTTTTTAATATGAATACTTTACAAACATATATTTAAATTAGGTTAGGTTCTCCGGTTAAAACTAACATCGTGTCCTGAAGGAAAATAGCTACTTACGATTTGACAGCGCTTACCGCTTACGATCGCCATTTTGCTTACAAGCGCTTGCTAGCGCTTTTTTCTGCCAAACGCACCCATTGTGTTTTTGTAAATTATGTACAACATAAAACTATCAAATAAAAGCTTTATTGTGATCCGCACGCTAGACGTTGTAAACTTGTATACAAAAACATGTATGAAATTTTAGTCACGCAGCGATCCACCATGTAGTATATAATTTATAATACTTGAGATAGTATTACTTCACTATCCACTACATTACATAAGTATCATGCATGGAAATAAGTTAGATATAGGCTTTTCTGTCGAAAAAGTAGCAGCCCGAAATCAGGCAGATGGTGGTGTAGGTGGTGCTGGTGGTGTGTAGTGTCGGATTGCCGCCCCATAATGGTAGGGTAATGATAAAAAAGAGTGCATCTGTGTTAGCGCATACACTTGTACACTGAACCTTGTCCTGCGCAGAATGGCTGGTCTCCTATTAAGTCTGATCGCCGAAACCGACGTTCGGTGGTAATACACTATAAAGTTTACTTAATGGTGGCATAAATTCAAACAGGTCCATTTGTATTTTAATAATAGAATTAGAATTAGTTATAGGTTTTTTTTTATAGAATAAGGTTGACACGACCACAAAGTCGACCTGATTGGTAAGTTGATTCTGTGGCCCGTTAATATCTACATCCATCCTTGATTAAGCATCAAAACGCAGATGCGTTGTCAGTTGTCACCCCTGAGGACTAAGATGGAATGCCTCGTTTCCAGCAAAAAGTGTCTCCGGTTCTTTACACTCACCATACGGAACACAGCAGAATTGAGCTGGTATTCTGCGAGAGCGTGGTCTTATCTCGATTGCGCCGACCCATTCAAGCTACAAACATAATATAACTTTTTTTATAGTACTTTTAACGAGCACACAGTCCACCTGATGGTAAATGGATGCTGTGGCCCATAGACTTTATCCTCGATTAATAATCAAAACGCAGACGCGTTATCCCCCCCGTGGACTAAGATGGAATGCTTCGTTTCCGGTAAAAAGAGATTACGGTTCTCTACACTCACCATACGGAACACAGCAGCATTAAGCTGCTATTTTAATCTGATATTCTGTGAGAGCGTGGTCTTATCTCGGTAGCGCCGACCCATTCGAGCTACAAACATAATATAATTGCAGTGCGGCGTAACTCGGCCACTTTTATAAAAATAAAACCTCTGGGGACTAAGATGGTATTTCTCATGGCTTGGTAGTATCTACCCAGACGGACAGTTTTCCAGACCTACTATATACCTTACGCATGTTATTAAAAACCTTGTTTTTATTTAAAGCTACTTCCATTCCATCCACATGGAATCCATGGCCTCCCCAATAGGAGCCTCACTGGGGGGATTTTGCCATAGTTGAAACATTTGACGAGCGGGTTGTCAACCGCAGTTTTTTATTATTTTAAGTCGTTACCAGCGTGATGCTGCTACCCATCACCTGTTTCAATTTCCCCTCTGTCGCCTCTTACGACACCCACCTGACGATATGGGGTGATGAATATTCTTACACAGCTGGCAAAGCTAATTGGTTATTTTATTTCGATAAAAATGAACAAGTGTTTGAATAATTTGGAACCTATCAAGAAAATACCGATGATCTATGATACTACCCAGAGGCTTTGTATTATACAAATGCATGTAAGTCATAATAATAAATAACTTAAGCGTGTCTGTCATTTTCTTAAATAATTTTTGTCTTTCTTTCTCACATTTGTGTCCTGCTCCTCAGTAAAATAAGTAGCACAAAATCTTTGTTATTTAACTCAAGATAGACCGACATTGTTACACATTGTAATGTTTTACTCATTTTATGATTATGTTTGAGTCGCTATACGTGAATAAAAACACTGACAGTGCTTATTACGAAATAAATCACCTTTCCATGCGCTGAGATGTCTGGAAGCTCTCTCCTCTAATTCGTAATAGTCATAAATCAATATCGTCATCGTAGTTAATCAATCCTGCAACAAAAATTATAATAAATAAATTTATTTTTTAACGCGAAAAGATATTGATAATGGTGCATTGAGCCCAATTACGTGGTTTTAAATGCATGTTTAAATAATTAATATATAATTAATTATCTATGCCGTGCAATAGCGACGTAAGAGAATTCGGACGAGGATGCTTCTAGGGATATTTTAGAAAGATCTTTTAACATATAACATATAAGTTGCTTATCTTCGTGCTGTGCTGTCTTAGCAGTTTAGAAATGGTCTGAATGTCGTCGGAGATGTTATGGAGGTTGGCACTGAATATCAGTACCTATGCATCAGAATTGGACTTTCGGCGCAATATATATTGAGTTGCTAAACTCGTTTGTCGGTAATAGGGCGTACAATTTACAATTTTTTTGTTTTAATTGCTTTATGTCTTTAATTTTATTTATTTATATATTTCTGTTTTGTTACAAATGATAAACGTATAACCATCTCATAAAATACCTTGACAAGTGACAGGGAGCAGCTTCAAAGGTGTCAGTCGCCAAGTGTATCATATAAAAAATGGCCAATAATGTAAAAAAATGGCCAATCGTGGGGACTGTGGCAAATCTACCCTACATCGCTAGAGTCAGGCACTGGTCTTTTGCGGACTGATGATGATGAACAATCACTGTACTGCTTAATGTGATGGGTTTTCCTAATATTCGATTAATGACCCGCGAGAAGAAATAAGTTGATTAATTATAAAAAAAAGTGATAAAATAAACAAGTGGTAAAATTAAAAATTATTTACAACCGACTTCAATATAGTCAAGATTACGGGAACGTAAAATGATTTTTTAAAAACTATTTAAATCTATTTTATTTCTTAATACAATTATAATTGGGTGCGTTTGGCAGAAAAAAGGGCTAGCAAGCGTTTACAAGCGCTGAAATAGTTTTCAGTCAGGACACGATTGCTACTTCAGTAGCGCTGACACAATCCGCCATTTTGCTTATTTATTTTGTTTGTTTTGAAGTAGAGTTTATAAGTTGTTTTGTGCAATATTAGTTTTAAGTAATATAATGACATGAATAAACATATACATGTTATTAAAAATTCATGATTGGTAAGTTTTTAATATGAATACTTTACAAACATATATTTAAATTAGGTTAGGTTCCCCGGTTCAATCTAACATCGTGTCCTGGAGGAAAATAGCTACTTACGATTTGACAGCGCTTACCGCTTACGATCGCCATTTTGCTTACAAGCGTTTGCTAGCGCTTTTTTCTGCCAAACGCACCCATTATAACTACTTAATTAATACGTCTTGACAGAAGTCGATGTCAAAACGAAGTAGCCGCTCCCATGAGCTCTGCCTGATACCTCATGCAACCAAAAGCGCTGACTCTACAGTAACTGAATACTGTCTAATGCTTAAGCAGCCCCCTCTAAGTACGAATCTTAACAACCCTATGGTCTTGTGGTTGCATAACTATATAGATAAAATGCGAATATCATCAATATAGTCAAAGTCAATTAAATGCGCATTATTAAGGATAACTAAAAAACGACTAATCAGATCTTGATCATATTCATACGATCCTCCCGTGGTCCCTGAAACACATGAAAAGCATCAGCTTTCAAATAAAAAAAGAATCATCATAATCGGTTCACCGAGAAAAAAGTTAAGAGTTAAGAGGTAACATACATTAAATCATACAGTTGAATTGAGTCCTTTTCTTGAAGTCGGTTAAAATACCCCGCAACCTTGTAATAAATGTAACACATGACCTAATTAATATTAGGTTCTTGTGCTGAACGACCGATTATAATCAACTACATAATGTTAATAGAAATTGTCCATCTATAATTGTTTGGACGTCCCTTGACATTGGGTTGGTCGAATTTATATGCCGATCATAAAACATTTTTGACATTATGTTGAATCGTAATAAATAATAATTAGTATAATGTGCAATATATAATGGAGCTGTGGTAGCTCAGGGGCTAAACGCTCGTTGTAAGTTTATACAGTACGCGAGCAACCCTAGTTCGATCCCGGCGGTACCAATGAAATTGTTAACTGCAATTTTAAGTGCTGATTTACTACGTACTCGGCGGTGGTGGAAAAAAATTGTGAGGAAACCGGCATCTCTGATATAAGAAAAAAAAAATATTTTGAAGACGTGCAATTCGCCAACACGCATTGGGGCAGCGCGATTTGTTTATTTTATAGGCTAGGGTGACAATCGAGCACACAGTCCACCTGATGGTAAGTGGTTACCGCAGTAGTGGCAGTACCAGTTACTCGACTGCACCGAGTCAGTAATTCATTCTTGGGGCGATGTGTACGCTTTTACAACAAAATGCCAGAAAATATACAAAATTTGTCATACGCAAAGTTCAAAAATTTTATTAAACTAAGTTTGTATAAAAAGGGTTATAAATAATATTAAGGAATTTATGGATGATATAACCTCTGGGAAGGGTGATCGCCACGAAGCTTTTTATAATTTGTCTTGTGTTGTTAATTGTAAACATGATTGTAAGCTATTATTTGAAAAAAAAAAAACTAGTCCCGTTGGGTTTCTTGCTGGTTCTTCCCAGGACAGAGGTTTTTTTTGCGAACCAGTGGTAAATGAAAAAAGTGACTTTCAATAAGTATTGTTATAATCTACATTGAATAAAAAGTTTCTGTTTCTGTGGCCCATTGACATCTACATCTATCCTGTCACCCATGAGGACTAAGATGGAATGCCTCGTTTCCAGTAAAAAGGGTCTCTGATTCTTTACACTCACCATACGAAACACAGCAGCATGAAGCTACTATTTTACGCTGGTCTTCTGTGAGAGCGTGGTCCTTCCCCGTTCGAGCCGACCCATTCGTGCTACAACTATATTACTAATATAACTGCAGCATGGCTCTACCACGAATATTTCCTTGACCTAAACCCTCTCAGAAATGAAAGGAAGCCAGTGCCCAGCAGTGGGACGTATATAGACTTTAACTTTTGTAATATTATGTAATAGGCACAAAGGATGTATGTGTATGTGTGTGGCTGTGTGCGTTGTGTGTTTACGCCACCACCACACGGCATACACGTTTTATAGACAGTAAATGCATATTGACAAACGTCCAGACAGGGTAAAATATTTGTAGGAATCGAACCCAGAACTCCGTGGTGCCTACAGATGCTCACATCCTGCGCTACTAAGGAGTCAATGTAAAAATATTTTACACCCGTTATTTTACAACCTTATCGAATTGAACATTATAGAAACAGTTATTTAGGTACTATATAGATATAGGATGTGACTCTTCACTGCAAGAAGGAACCCTCTATCACCCATTGAAGTATAATGTAGGTACTACGTGTGTATATATAATAGCTCCATGCTCTCACCCTGATTGCTACTAAGCACGAGGTGTTGAGATTTTTCCGAACCTCAACTTTAGGCGGTTCCTTGAGTCCAGAGCCAACGTAGCCGCATGGAAACTAGGTATGATTGCAAAGGGTACAGCAGTTTGTAGGCAGTCTCTGACCCAATATAAAGCGTAAGTCCGATCGTGCATGGATTACTGCTATCACGTATGGACTGGTGCTGCAAAATACTACCTAGCAGCGTGGGATTTAGTGACAAGGCGTGATAAGAGAGAAAACCCTCTATTTATCGCGGTAACTTGGATTTGGTTTAAACCAGTCTTGTCGGCCTGCAGAGCGCATTTCGAAAAGTGTGCGCAGGAATTACATGTTACCTTAATTTCTTCCTCCCCTTTTTACCACCAGATAACCAGGTTTTTTGTTTCGTCTTTCGTAATGCGTGCGGCAAATGTCGCCTCTACACGTTGGCCAACACAGTGGCGAATGTAGTGGCGAATATATTGGCCGAGAGTTGGTGACGGCGTCCACACGTTGGAAGGTCGTTCAGTTTACTTCGGTTCGGGCCAATGTGCGGACGAATTTATAAGCACCGTGGCGCAGTGGCTCAGCAATGAGTGGCTGCGCCGGGCGCCGCGGGTTTGATCCCGCACGGAACAAGTATTTGTATGTCCTACGAATAATTGTTTCGGGTCTGGATGTATGTCCTTGTGCAATTTATGTTTGTAAACTGCCTGCGTGATACGGGAGAAAATCCTAGTGTGGGGTTAACGTTTTTATAAAAGAATTATAAAATAATAGTGGTTATTAATGGGGCTGTAAATAGATATACGATATACGATTAGCTTTATTTATTCTTTACATGCATCATAAACTAGAATAAATACCATTAATAAGAACTTAACTTATTTTAAAGTTAAAGGAGTTATAATCGATAAGTCTATGTTTTAAAATTGGGTTTTGATTTTAAAGTTTAGCAAAATATGTACTTGCATTTCTATCAGACATTTGATGTATATAAAAAACACCTTATAATTTATTTGTTAATTTAATTATTTTTTGAAAAAGACAAAAACAATAGCAATAAATACAATTAACACTGACTTAATAATAGGTACTAATTATAACTTAGAACATAAATGAAAAACTCATGACGAGCAAAGTGGCTCAGGACCATGCTTTGCGGCAGTCTGTGGAGGAGGATGTTCAGTAGTGGACTTGTGAAGAGCTGCAATGATGATGATGATTCGAAAACTTGCACGATTAAATTATAAGAAATCGACGTTTTTTTATAGGATAGTGTGACAAACGAGCACACAGTTCACCTGATGGTAAGTGGTTACTGTGGCATGGTAGTGGTACTGTGGCCCACAGACATCTACATCTATCCTCGATTACGAATCAAAATGCAGATGCGTTGTCACCCGTGAGGACTAAGATGAAATGCCTCGTTTCCCTTAAAAAGGGTCTCTGGTTCTCTACGAAATACAGCATCATTAAGCTACTATTTTACGCTCATATTCTGTGAGAGCGTGGTCCTTCCCCGGTCGAGCCGACCTTCGTGCTGCAACTATACTTCTAATATAATTGCATGGTTCTACCACGTATAAACGACGTGCTTCTTTTTTTTTCATTTT